ATAGCAATGCATATTTTTATGGATTTTTCAATAATAAACGTATTGTTCTTTATGATACATTATTGAAAGATAGCAAAGATATTATAAATAACAAAACAGTTATAGAAGAAAATGCTCATGGTGATAAAATTGAAGAAAAAGGAAAAGGGATGAATGATGAGGAAATTTTGGCAGTCTTAGGTCATGAACTTGGTCATTGGAAACTAAACCATATTTTATTTTATCTTATAATATCTCAGGTATTTTTATCAATAAATAATATTCAATCTTTTTGGTATACAAGAAGATTTTTATTTGATATTGATTGCAATGCATTTTTGTTTCAGGTGAATCTATTTGTCATGTTGTTTGTCTTTGGATGGTTGTATGACAATTCAATGTTATACCGAGCATTTGGATTTTATGAGTCAACCCATCCAGTTATCATTGGTCTAGCAATTATTTTTCAATATGTGTTTTCTCCATATAACACTGTTATATCATTTGCTATGACTACACTTAGTAGACAGTTGGAGTTTCAAGCTGATGCCTTTGCTAAAAAACTTGGACATGCAAAGCCACTTGAATCTGGATTAATACGTTTACACAATGATAACTTAGGATTTCCAGTTTATGATTCTCTATTCTCAGCTTGGCATCATACTCATCCTCAACTATTGGAAAGATTGGAAGCAATCTCTAAGACAGACTGAATATTTAATGTTAAATTAAAAAGTACACACGATTCCGATTTAAATTTAAGCAGTGTTTCATATAATATAACATTTTTAATTTTTACATTCTTCAGTTAAGTTACGAGGTATCATTTGTTGTGTGAGTGTGCGCAAATCTTCTAGTCGACATGGCTGTGGACAACCTGGTAATTCAATTAACTCAATGTTTGATTCTTTCCATTCATAGTCTCTGTTGTATAATAGCTAGTTTTTTTTTAAAGTTAATAAAAAAACATTTAATCATTTACTATCATTGAATTTATATTTTAATTTATTATTTACCTTTACGATTGTTTCATTTGAAAGTGATGCGTATAATTCCATTACAACTGCTGCTCCATAAAGTGGATATGTTATATTTTTTACATTTAGTGTTTTTAGGAAAGGAACTATAGTCGAATCATGACCAACGTGCAAATATATTTTTTTTGCTTCTGGTGATTTATTTATTGACGCTGCCATTCGTGTTAATACATCATTTAACATTTCACCTAATAAATAATTATTTAAACTAATTTTTTTTGTTAGTGTAAGTATGTGTAATATGATGTGTGAAAATAATAACCTGAAAATAAAAGTTTCATTTGATCTGTTTCCGCTATTATAGTCATAGAATATAATATAAATTCTTCTATATCTTTATATCGTTCTAATGCCCAATTAGGAATTGGATAGTTCGCCATACGCTAAAAAAAAATAAACATCTTAAATAGATATATTTAAAAATAAAAATATTTATAAAATAATCATAATGAAATGTATAAATCATTTTAATTCTATTTATATAATTTGTAATAAAAAAAATTAAATTATTTTTTTGTACCTATTTATTTCAGTTCTTACTTGTGTCATAATGACATCTGCCACTTTCAATACATCATAAAGTGTATTTAATGGATTTGATGTGTAGTTTTTCATATAGTTGATTAATTTTTGTATCTTTTCGGTTTTTATCGCATCCTCGCAAATTTCGTGTAATTCCATAAAATACTTTGGACAGAATCTTGGATCTCCTGTGAACTAACATTTAAATTAATTTCAAAAGTTATCATTTCAGTTTATATCTTAATTATAAATTGGACAAATTGAGTTTTTAAATATTCCTCTTATCCTAAAAATGATCATCACTCGTCACCCACAATTTTAGTGTACTGTACCTATGTCAGAATTGGTATGTATAAAATACCTATCCTTTACCAATGCGGCAAATTAATACCAGCTACCTTAGTATACCGTCGTTAAGTAACTACTATTCATCTATTATAGGTAGGAATATTTTAATTGTATTTGTATCCTTATTCCTTACTTGCTGGTTGTCTTTCGACAAACTTGTCTTGATCGGTATGGGCTGCCATTTTAGGTCCTTGTTCCACGTCTGCTCTTCGTTTGGCGGGTACATACCGGCCAACAGGTAGCCGGCAGACTGGTAACACCGGTTCACCTCTGTGGAGGATACGTCGATCTCACTGGGCGTGTACCGCTGCAGGGGGTGTAAGAAGCCCAAGTACCGTTCACGCAGAGCTTGACCCGCGCGGTACGCGTTCCACACCCCCTGGTCTGTCAACTCGCCCAATCCGCGGGGCCAGGGTATTTGGTCAGTTTGGTTTTTGTACCGGGTCAAAGGTGCGCGATTCAAATGTCTCATCAACTGTGCCGGACAAAGTCACAAGAATTTATTATTACTGCGTGTGATCACTCCATCAGTCGAGGTTTTGACTTGATGACAGACAACATAAGCTTACAGCAGTACAACTGCGCAAATGCACGAACTTAAGTAGGTAGGTACCTAATAACTAATAAGTATAGTAACTGAGTAATGGTGTAATGTACCTACTACCTAGGTACAATCGCATTTTTAAAAAGTTAAGTATGTGGGTATAGAGGTACCTTACTGGCTAGTAGCGTACTACCTTCGTATAACTCATAAGTAAATTATAATTCAAATATGAAGTTTTATTTTGGAAACTTGCGTTTGAGAGCTATTATTTCCAAACTTTTCAAAATTAATTTCTTAAATATTATTTGTAGAACACGTAGCAACCAGTTTTTCTATGAATTTCTATCTTTATTGATTATTCATATCCAGAAAATAATAAAAATATATTAACTTTATTAATAAGTGGGTAGAGGTAAGTATTTAAAAAAAGGGTAATAAGTGAAATTAGTAAAGTATAATGAAGTGTTGACGTGGATACATTTTTACCCAGCGTAAAGGTAAATTATACACTACCTATGTGCTTTGTCACTAGGTAGTGTTATTTGCTATTTTACTATAGGTACCTATACCTAGTATCTAGATAAATTTATTACAAAATAAACTTTATGTTTTATATTTTGTTTTTGTAGTTGTTCTATATGGCTATTGGTTATTCCTATTCGTATGTAACTAGTAACTACTGACTTTGTATTATATGTCATATGTGTGTAACAATTTGTGAAAATTGGTCTGCAGTAATAAATCACGACGATAAATAAATTAGCGGCATCCGCACACCGACGATATGGACCTTAAACGGTGTAGGTTCTACAATAACATAGGTACATAATATTAATATAAATTATATAATTTAACTGAAGTCAGTTGTCAGTGACGGAAAAGTATAATAATTGATTTAGCATTTAGTTAAGTGGATGTCAGCGCAATACTTACTTTTTCTCCCAGACCCATCATGCTTAATATGACACGTTTTTTCATGAAATCGTTTTTTTTATGATTTTTGAGTAATTTTAGTTCTATATTTTATGTGTAGGTACCTATTTGACTTTGTATTCGACTTTCAAAATAAAACAAAATGTTTGTAAATATAAATTATATTGAGACAGTATTAAGGCAAATCTTAAATCGATACCTAGTCGACCCTTAAAAATATTATTCTCTAGGTAAACTTTGTAATGGGTGATTATACTGATTAGTATCGGAGATTACTCAAAAACATAAAAAAAAAAATGATTTTGTGTGCATTTTTATCTATGATGTTGAGTGTGTCTACGTAGGTCAGAGAGAGAAAACGAACAGAGTGCATCATGACTTGCAAGTTGCAACTGACATCATCTTAACCATAATAATTGTAAATAAACAACATACAATTTTGACAGACCAATATTATTGGTACCTACCTAGTGCTCATTGCTTATGATACCTACCACAACAACAGTGCTCATGTGCTGCAACTAATGGTACCTATAGAGTTGCTTGGTGAGGCGCTGTCTTACGCTCTATCTGCGGAAACGCTCTGAGTGTACTCATCCGCCGGTGAGTAGTGAGTACACACATCCCGGATGGGTGACCACCCGGGATTTTTAGCAACATATCCTTACCACACATACAAAAACACTTAATACAACCCAACCAACACAAAAAACCTACTAAAAATATACAAAAGAATCGTCGTACCACCCCACTACCAATGACGTATGTTGCCGAGAGTTCCCCCTAATACAAAAATAAAATAATGGTATAGACTTAGGTAATAAAGTCATTATTATGTACCTAAATACCTAATATACTTATAACCTACCTACCTACTAATTATAAATATCGGGCTATCTCATAAACCATAGACGTGTCTACGATGGCAACCTAGGGTGCCTGGGCTGCCCCTGCGATTTTCGAAAAATCAACCGAGTTTTAAGTCTACAGATGGGTTACAACTTTCATTTTAAAAAAAAAATGTCTTTTGTGTATTGTTATAATTACTATTTACCTATAAAGATTTATGTTCCCGAATTCAGAAAAACCTATACCTACGCTAAAGACTTGAAACAGACGACGGTCTGGTCCGCATAATCTATTATTAGATATTATATTATTATGGTGTTATTTTTTTTACTACGTAGCTCGGTCTTGTAATCTTGCAGGGCTGTAGATGAATAATATTTTTGGAGTTTAATTTAATCTCCAAAAGGTACTGCAAGTACTGTAGATTATTAATTATAAATAGATAATTCAGACTTTTTTAAAATTATATAAATATTTCATTGGTACGGGGGGAGGGGGGTGCTCTTTAAAAAAATACTGTCTTTGGTTTATAGGGCTTTTTTGGTTCATTAAGGTAGCGCCGGTTATTAGCTGGGCTGCCGCTTCGAATTAAGTCTAGTCACGCCTATGATCATAACCAATGACCTTGAGGTCATTAGAATCGTCATTTCAATCAATTATCAACTACATATAATGGACAGGTGGCAGGTATATAGGTAGCTATGATAACACAAAAATTCACAATAAAAAATAGCTATGTTAAATGGTTGATGTTTAAGTCCTGCCACAAAGTAAAAAACAATGAATTCATCTATGATTATTTAAGGCCATTAGGTACTTATTGAGTTGAGTGTATCAACAATAGAAAATAATAAATACTAATGAGTAATTAGGTAGTATTAATTATTATCGAAATACCTATTTATATTGTATTGTAAGTGCGTAACTTATACTTACTTACTCTTATAATGTACAATTTATATTCTACAATAACTTGCGTGGTTTTTACATTGTTAAACACTGAATTTTTACCCTGCAGATTATTAATAAATATCAGATTTAGACATTGAATTTAGTGCACGACATTAACTTTTTGGGACTTTGGTGCCCCTCCCAAGTTATGTCATGAACGATGCTGAATATCATCCACACCTTTATATCTACCCACATAGTGTGCGTTATGAATATTTGAATATGAAGTGGTTAAAATAGATACCAGCTATGAATGTAATATTGATATCTAAGTCCACGCATACATGCATTGGCTAGTAGGTACAGTTCTGTAAACTTTGTTATGGACCGTATAATATTTGTAGGTATATTTAGGTATATAGGTACTTACTATGAAAACAAATTTCAACTGTAAATGATCCTGATTTATTGATTTAGAAACACATTCATTTGCAATAAATATCAATAAAAAAATGTACTTTAAACTAAAATACATTATGATAATGTTATATCCAGTATTATGTTATTAGTATTTTAAATAAACAACGACAAACTCTGATTAGTTGAACAATATTGTACTCACGACACGAGATAGCTAGTTAGTGGTTATTAATATTATACGCATGTTTGCTGTTTATAAATGTTTTTAACTCACACCTTTAGACTTCAATACTATAATACATCCTTTTATACAGAGTGGTCCACTTAACCGTGCCACACGCATTATCTCCTTCAATGTGTATAAAATTATAACTATTAACTAATGTAATGATTTTTTTTAAATAATTTTTATTTGAAATGGGTAACATTTCTTATCTTATGTTGTTATATTTTTTAGTTTTCATATCACATGGACATTTTTCAGAAATTTTAGATAGTTACCTTAAAGTAAATTCAAGTTTAAAGGACAACCAGCATATCATTTTTAACTTCTGCAAACTTCAAAACTGAATCCTACTGATAGCGTCAATATTTACTAATCAAATTATTTATTGTTTATTAATTATTACCTATAATTCAATTGGCTATTTATAAGCAGTTATAAAAGTTAGATAAGATATGGGAGCGTGACATGAGTTAAATATTGTCAAGGACTACCTACCATGATAATCGTATACCTAATCTGTCTTATAAACTTCACTTCAAAGTTGAAACGTTTATTATAATTTTTAAGGAACAGACAATTGGTTCAATACCTGTAGGCTACAGGCTGTAGGTACTATTTATTGATATTTAGTATTTACACAACGAAATTACTAGAAAAATATTTTGCTTCGGTATGAACAATAAAGAATATTATTATGTATTATGTAACGCAATAAATAAATAATTTGAAAAACCTTATATTTTGGAAGCTGGTTATATAATATAGTTCATGGCAAGGTTCATATACAAGGTTATTGCAATAGTACCCCCACTATATTATTTTATCACGTTAAGGAATTAAAACGGCAGCGTAAGGGGACGACGTATACTGGCTATATTATGATATTATGTGCTATGATATGGACCATACCCTTACGCTGCCATTTTATTTTCATTTGATAACAATTTGGCTATGTGCAATAACCTTGTATATTTAAGCCGTGATATAGTTTAAGAATTGATATACTGATATATATTTTGATCTATATTGTATTAGTAATTATATCTTGTATTTTTTTTCACTTTAAATGTCAAGATATCATAGTTTATATTACCTAGTAACTTATAGTAAAAAAAACCTTATATCTCAATTTAGTAATATAGGCACTGGGAAATAGTAAAAATAGATTTTTGAAAAAAAAAATGACGGGCTATATTATCCACCTTATATTTATACTTATACTTATATTTAAAATTGTACTATACATACAAAAAAAAAAAGAAATACACAAAAATTGATCGACAAATTGAGTGTATGTACCTATACACTGTGTCACTATACACTTATACACATACTCGTATATACTTTCCGTTGAAAGAAACATTTTTATTTTTTCTAGGATTTTTTTAACGTGTTATTTTAATCTTTATTCTTATTTTCCTTAGTCATTTTACCGGTTGCCGTGTATATGTCGAGTTATACAGATAACCTGGCATACCTAATAAGTACCTATATAGCTATTATATAGATATATCACCAAAACGATACGCAAATCGTAAATATATGATACTTATAAACTCTATTAAAGTGAAGTGTACAGTGGCGTTCCCGTGGGGGGGGGGGAGAAGACGTTTGGGTTTATATCCCCCTACTTAAATCCCCTTTTTTGTGTCTTTGGTGCTAACACCACAATTCATTTGAATGTATTATTATAATTTATAACGCCCACCCCACACCTATTGAAATTCCTGGGTACTCCACTGTAAGTAGTTACATGTTTTGATTCACTTTATAATAATTCAAAACATGTTAGAGATATTTTTACAGGTAATACATTTTTGCAACACATTGACAAATTAGTAGGTATTCTCATTAAAACGTAGGCAGGTACCTACAAAATATGTACACTTTTATATTTGAAGATTTTCAGAAATCGTTCTTGTTGATTGGTAATTTGTGAAACATACTATCATGGATTTACTCTGTTATCCATTTAATGTATAGCTATATAAATTAATATATAATAGCTAATATTGTAATACCATCACTAATACCAGCTATTTCAATTGTCAATGATTACCTATGCTTATACAAAAATACGTAATTGTAAATTGTAATTTGAAGTAGGTGAAATAGCGACTAAAGATTATTAATTATAATCGATTTACAATTATTAGTGTACGTACAATATACAATGAACTTAATGTTTATATTTATATTGGTATTATAGTTGAAGATTACTTAAGCTGGCATTCTTTTTCCCAGTTTTTTGGTACATAATTTTCAGTTGATATTATGAAATCTTCTAAGGTTGGTAAAAAATTAGTTTGGCCTTCCATTTCTAGAGATAGAATATCTGGTGTGTCGTAGGTTTTTGTGTACATAATCTAGAATAAAAATACATTTGAATCAGGAGGTACATATAGGTAACTATTTTTTTTTGTAAGTTATCCAAATCCATAAACATTTATAATTACTTTAACGTAGAATTCTTCTTTGATTTTGTGTAGTTCAACGAAAGCTGCTGCTCCGTAGCTAGGTTTAAAAAGATTTTTCATTCCCAATGTATGTAAAAAATCAATTAACGTCTGCTCATGACTAAAGTAAGCAAACATTTTTCTGTCAGGGTTTAATCTTCCATCCATTTTGTCTCTCATCGCTCTAACTATTTCTCCAATGAGTTTTCCGGACCTTAATTTTTTCATGAAATCCGTTTTCGAATAAGTAATTAACCATTCTAAAACAATATTTTCCATAAGACCCATGTAATTTTTTACTTTTACCCATGATGGCAAAGTCAGATGATTTCTTTGCTATAAATAAATTACGAAATTGTAAACATTTATTCAGGCATCATTCAATTGTCATTGGTATAAAACAATATACATAATAATAAAGGTGATATGTAACAATTACAATTATTATTTATTACAAAAAACAATTACCTGAATAGTTAATGAATTGAATATATTTTCAACGTCTGAAAGATGTTTTATTTCTAAACCAGTGTGATTAGATACATAGTTGAAAAAAGTTTCATATTTAACTAACATTTGTTTTTCAGTTTCATTTTTTGCTTTTTCAAATTCTACATCATAAGCAGGGCAGGACTTTGTAACTCTAAGCATCTAAATATTAAAAATACAGAGTGGTAATTTGTCTTTGTCTACAGTGTACACTTTAAAAACCAGACAGGTTATGCTATACAGATAATTTGTTTTGATTTGTCCTTATTTCAATAAAATAAATATTTTTGTTATTTGAACCTATTCTTATACCTACACCTATTAGGTGCTAGGTACAATATAAATGTATTGCTTTTCAAATTATACTTAGTATAGTTCATATACAAATTAATAATAGCGATTCTCTAATTAAAGTTACAAAATATTTTTAGTTATTAGTTATTACTTGGATATATATATATATATCGTATACCTATTATGTTATCTAAGTTATAATATTCGTTTCGTTAAATTTTGAAAAATTAAAAAATTTTTAAAACAAATTTAAAAACAGAATACGTACAAATACAATATCATAAAATGATCACCTAGGTACCTATGTATATTTTACTATGGTTCTAACTATCAATATTTTACGAAAAATCAAAAATACTTAAGTTTACTACAATTCATGAATATTATACTTTTTAAGAAGTATTTTTTTCACGAAATCTATCATAAAAAGTAAGTACCTACGTAATTACTATATTGTCAAGAAAATCGATACCTTAAATTTCAATTGAAAATCCAAAAAAATGTTTATAGATGAAGTAAGATGCATGTTATAGATGTATACATTATACATATAGTGCCTACTACCTCAAACTTTACAATTTTACTATACGTTATAATAGTAGGTTACTGTTATATCATCGAAAGACTTATGTCTAAGTCCAAGCACCAAGCCGCTTAAGATATGAAATACAAATTTACGTTGTCTTGATTTGGAGATATCGAATGGATTGGTATAGGTATCCATGGTAAATCGTTGTTCCAATTTTGTTTGCCACTAGGCGGAAAAGCTCCTGCTAAAAATGCTGACGCCGTCATTTGTGTTCGATCAGTTTCTGTACTCTGTACCAAAACAAAGCTACTGTTGTAGGTGACTGGTAGAAATTTCGTGTATCGCTTTCGAAATCGTCTTCCAAATTCATACGATTTTAATTTTCCTGCCTTTTTAAATTTAAATTAAATACATATATTAAATATAAATATACGATGTATCACATATGTTCTTCTACTACACGTCGTGACGTCGTGTGCACAAACAGCTAGATAGTTATTTAGTTTATATATAGATTAGTATGACTGTATTTTTCCATTAATAATAATTATTAAGTACCTTAATTTTCTGATTTGTGACGAAAATTATAAATTTAGTATGCGTATACTCTATTTAGCGAGAGAACACTACGTGCCGACCAAATATGGTTCCCCTCGCAATATTCTGCAGCCAAATATAAATCGGTTTCGATGGTGGGGTGACGAGGAGGATGCGCGAAATCGGTATGTTCTCTTGTTGAACAGTGTATATAGGTACTTTTACTTACTTGATAAGGACTTTTTTTGAGGGCCAAGTCCTCCAATCAGACCCCCATGTATGTACCTATGGCTCTACTTTTGTTTGATAAATATAAACAATATAGGTGGTATAATATTTAAAGATGAGATGTTTGCTTCTAGTTGACTCAACGGTAAATTTAAGTATAAGTTTTTAGTTTTATTAGCCATTTGGATTAGGGTATACGAAAAGTCCCTATGAGTATTTCTCCTATTTACGTCCATCTACACATAATATGACTTAGGTACCTACCAATATAATATTAATATATTATACCAACAAAAATATTTTTCTTACATTGGTCAACTGCCCGAGGCCATCTGGCCATGTCCCTTCGCTCGTAGGCGCATACATGTCATTAGGATAAGTTTCCCATTTCAACGGACTTCTGTCTCCTTGTCTAAAAATCTACAAGGACATTTTGATTGTGTATAAAAAAAATATTTATTTCAATCATTGCTTTAGGTTTTACTTACTGCTATAATGAGCTGTAAAGAATTTTTTTTCCGCGATTCCTCTCCTAATATTAAATAATACACCACGAATACAGCGATAATCACTCCTGACAATAATATAGCAGCGAGAGCTCCTCTTTTTTCATTTCTCAATTTGGTTGCCTTTTTTGAAGAAATGCTATTTTGTATGTTCTCATTTTGAGACATAATGACTAATAACGAAGCAGTAGCACTAACTGGCTTAATGCATATCTGTATGGTAATTTAAAGTATATTTTTATAAACCTGCAAAATGTGTTTATTGAACTATTGCAAACTATTTAATTAATAACTTACAAGTATCACGAGTGCCTAAGTAGTCGAAAATATTGATAGAAATATTGATACAGCCATACCTTGATGATAATCACATATTATACAGTGTAATACAGTAGTACTGATTTTTACCAAAATATAACCAAATACTAATAATGGTATTAAAAATACTTAAATGAATTAAACAACAGTACAACAATCATAAATTATATCGAATAGAAATTCTTAATATTGTATACAAACGACAATATGTGTAGTAGTTTGTTCGACGCTGTCGGTAAGACTATAGTGCAAAACGTAGTAAACATACACCTATTATGTGGCTATTTTCTAATCCTAAAGTATACACAGATTAGATAAGCCAAATCGTTACAGTGCTTGTCCTCTTTTCATTGGTACTCTGAAAACGTAAGGAAAATAAAAACAATCTCAGTAATATAATACGTAGGTACCTACTATAATATCACTATAATATACACATAATATATCATATAACATATACTTGTGTATACTGTTGAACACTTATTACTTTTTTTTTTTAATATCATCATTGATTACCTCGGTAATCAATAATCGTTGTACAAATGTGTAGCACGGCAACTGACAAGTTTCTATCATGATTCACGGCAAGACAACTTGCAGGTAGGCTGCCAACTCGAGGAAATTTGTGGATGGAATTTACCTCTTATCATATTGACATAATATGTGTTAAATAATATGTTTAGTGTAATTAAATAAATAATCGAACTGTTTGATTAGCGAAGAAAAGCCATGTTTTTACGAGCTGCTAACATATGTACCTATTTATTTTTTCACGAGCTCTATAAAAACAGAATCATCATGACCGACCTTAAGGGGGTCCAATGTGGCTGTACCTCATACCCCGGTTTAGATGATAAAATAAAGAATATATACGCTATATTATGAACACTAAATTATTTAAATCACAGATTCAGAATCTATAATTTGTATTTTATTTATATAATAAGTAACACCCACAATATCTGAACACTAGTATAAGGAAAAGGATATAAAATTCTCATTTATTTTGTTTGGCCCCCACTTTCCCTATTGAATAATCCTGGGTACGCCATTGCTTTAATATGAGTACAATGTAATTCAAAACTCCCAACTCACATTTTATAAACTTCATCATATTGTTATAAATTGTTAGAATATCAATATAATTTTTATTAGCAATCATCATTTAGTAATTTTTCGTTGTATACAATTGAGAATATTTACCGGACACAACTTACCGCCACCTCCAAGACAAAAGAATTTCATCTCCACCGCTCCATTGTGTGTGGACCTCAAAGGTTACGAAGAGTTAGCTGAAATAGAACGAATACGTATATACCACTGTGCGTAGTGAGGGTTGACAAACCATTCCATATACAAAATATACGGTTTGGCGGACACTAAGCTCCTATACAAAAGCATACCCCTGGCAGCGATGTATTTACACGCTCCAGACGGGTACGGCTATCACGTCATATTATTAATTATTATGTATAGATCTCTAATATTTTACGCAAGCGTAAAATTCCGGGCGTTGTGTTGAAGCCGAAATAATAATATTTTAAACTTGATAGTTGCGAGCCGGATTAGGGTCCTTAAGATAAAGGGTTGTACGATCGATCCGTAGCGACCGCAGCAATGAACATTATATTTTGATTTTGTAGTAGCGTCATGGCTAACTTATAGTGTACACATACCGCCGTTCGGCGAGTTACATATTGTTTTAACTTATATTTCATAACTATTATAAAGATCAATATTTACGTACCACCAATTTTAGATAATAAACTCGGGACTATCAATTTTCCTATTTAATAATTATGCATACCGCATATGGCGTCACGACCAGTGGTTTCAATAGTATTTTTTGGTGTGGTGACGTATGTATCACCCCCCCCCCCCCTTGTGCATATTTTCGCATTCTGTGACCTGTTTGGTCCTCTTTTCCTTTTCTTTGTTCATACGGATCTAATCCACTATTTTGCATAAAAATCCTGGACAACAACTTCCATCGATGATGAAGCCCTGTCTGCCTGGTTCGCTGGCAGATCCACAAGAACTGGGCCTCATGACGCACACGAATCTGAGATATCAGCGGACGTTGCCTGACATTATAGAAATTTGCAAGTTGCTATGCTTAACACTACTACAACGATTATTGATTGAATAGGAAATGAATAATGATAAAGTAACTGTTCAACCTTCAACAGTATACAAAAGTATATGGTTTGATATGTATTATTTGTATATTATACGTTTTCGGAGTGCCGATAAAAAGAAGACAAGCACTATCTAATCTGTGTATACTTAAGAATTAAAATAATGTGAAAGTGTAAAAATAATAATTTGAGTGACATATATTAGAGATAACATTTTTTTGCCCCCACAAAAATCCACAAAAAAATATTTCTTTGAACGACTTTGAGTATCTTATATTATTATCGTGTGTTTTAGAGATGCAGGTTTATACTCCTTGCTATGGTACAATTTTCTGAGAAAAATCACAAGGTTTATGTGTCAAAATGGTTGACATAACATATTCGAATGTGGACGAAGAAATGGCATTTATTCAGAACAAGTGTCTCAACAACAGCTATCAAAAAGGATGCATAAAAGCTAACGATGTCGTGTTACCAGTCTACTACAAAAAGTTTGAAAAATGTATAGAAGACATGGACATCAGAGACGATGACATTTGGGTCTGCAGCTTCATGAAAGCAGGTTTCAATTAATTTGGCTATATTATATAGAACTTATATTAACTTATAAACGAATAATATTCAACGATAATGTAACACGAAATACTCCGAGTCAGGCACGCCCGCAGAGATGTAGCTCACTAGGTGCAAAATATTTTTAATATCAATATAAGATGTGGGGGGCTTTGCCCCCCACACCCCCTAAAACTTATTACATGACATATATTATTTATCATCAATAATGGGTAAAACAAAATATATTTAAAACATAACTCATTTTATTTATTACTTCTTATAAAATATAAAAATTAGATAGAATTTTAGATGTATAACACACACATACATATACATACATATATAATAGTGTACCACAGAATAGATGTCAGATAAGGAAATTCATAATAATATTATTGATGACCAAAATAAATGTATTAATAATAGACGCGTGGTTAGACGTGGCTGTACACAGTACTAAAATGCGGCAGACGGTGGTATCTCAGAATAGTGAGATGCCTGAATAGCTAATAAGTATTTAATATTTACTATATTGGGAATAATCATGGGCATAAATTAAAAATTTACAGAGAAAGAATTTTTATATTTTATTATTTATTTGAAAAATCCAAATTATTAAAATTCTCAGGTGGTGCATTTGCACCACCTGGCCCCCCCTCCGGGCGTGCCTGCTCCGAGTGCATGACTTTGGATTTGATTTATGTTTTTTTACTGTATAAAGGTACACTTTTTCTTACACTAACTTTTTAATTAACCATCCTATAGTATACAGTATACACCATAGGGCTATAAGTGCAGAGCCGTAGATAGGAATTTTATATATGAGTGGTTTATCATAATAACAACATATTACATAATTAATTAATATAATAAATACATTGAACCCCCTTCCCCTCCCCCTCCAAGAGTTCTGAAATCCATTGAAAATATTAGATGGAACAGCTATACTATTTTTCAAATGAACCTAAATCGTGGGGGCTTTGCTCCTGTACAATAACTCTTGGACTAGTTGGACTTGTGGTGGAGGCTTGACAGACTTGTTTTGTGGAGTGGACTATTCTTACTTCTACACATATATTTATTATTTTGTCACTAAACTGTCCCTCAACAAAATAGATTATTTATGCGTATGATAATAAGTATACAATTATGTATGAAGGCTATTTTGATAAAAATATAATTGGGACGAATAAGTTATCGAACAGTTTTTTTTCAGTTTTATTATGGGCTGGTAGAACTTTTGTCTTTTGCCTCACCTCACAAACATAATCATCTCTGTAATATTTGAATACATTTAGTTACAAATAAAATATTCAAATTTAGTATACCTTATAATATCCAAAAAACTTAAAAATACACTTCATATGTGATAAAAAGTATTGTTTTTCACAAATTGTGATTTTATACTTACCTAAACGTAATAGGGTATTATAATAGGTAATACGTAAACCAACATCCCATCAGTGGCGTGGCGACAAGATTTTATAGTAGGGGCGAATACAATTTTTTGGTACCCACCCACGTCTCACAGATTTGTATATCCCCCCACCATAATTTTATTACAAACCTCTAAAAAAGTTATTATTTTTATTTTTATTATTAACCAATTCTAAATAATTATAATAATAATAATATTAATAATAGTAAATAATTATTCTAGAATAGTATACTGCAGTTGAATGACAAATGTCATAAAGGTAAATTAATATATTATTTACCCTTAGATATCACCCACTAACATAAGCACCCACCCACCCATGGGTTGTACTAGGGGCGGTTGCCCCAAAAAATCTACTTCGCCAGTCGCCACGCCACTGCATCCCATTACATTTATTAACATTATTAAAATGTATAAACTATTATATTATTATTATTCATATGTACAATCGTTTTAATTATTAAAATCACAAATGGAATAAAAAATTAAATACTTAATCCCATACCGAGGTGATGATTGATTAACGAATCAATACTAATTTAATACAGAACTTATTAGATCCTTCAATTATTATTATCGCCATATTTCCTTTTTTGTGACTCAACAAGCAAGTTGCAAATGGGTTGAACGTAAAAAAATTGAAACATCATTTGTTGTGTTCCAGGAACTACATGGTGCCAGGAGATGACGTGGTGTATTGCAAACGATTTGGACTTCAATGGTGCCAAACAAAATCTGTTCGAAAGATTTCCTTTCTTAGAGTAATTATTACTATATATAAGCGATATACCTATCATTATACTCTGTCCAGCGAAAGAGCGCAATACAGGAGGTTGATGACTTTTGGAGAAGATACTCTGTAATAACCACAGCTACTTTTCAATGGAGGGTGCTTACATAGGGCCTTCTCGAACTACAATTCATCGGGGGTGTAGACCTATCTATTTAAAAAAATTTTCTCGCTTAGCGTGAAACGTTTTTACTAAAATTATATTAAATACATTACCTATATAATATATAAATAAGAATTTTTTAAAAATTTAAATTAGTGCTTTGCCTATGTAAAACTTTATTAAGTTACCTCTAATAATATTTTAGCAATTAACTCAGCCGCATACTTTACCTGTTATATATAAAAGCTGTTACCCGTGGCTTCTATATTTTAACAGCGTTACGAGTTACGACCCTTCCGGTAACCAAGAAAATTTTTTTTATATTTTAATATAAAAATTAAAATATTAATTGATTTCTATTTTTCTAGTAGATTAAAACTACTTACAAAATGATTAAGGTAAGTAAATTCCTTAGAAAGAAGAAGTAAGAATAAGAAAGAAAAGTATTTATAGTAGGGTTCCATAATTTGAAATGTATTATTTTAAATTAAATGTTCAAAAAAGAAATGTATTGTTTTCCAATTTTTGAGTGCATATTTTTTTTTATACATATTTTAACCTTTTAGTGCATATTTACGATATTTTAACGCTCATTTTGTTGGTTTTCAATGCATACATATAACAATAGATAAATAAAACAATGTTTTATATATCTATGCATATAACCCTTACCCTAGTTATCACAGAATAAATTATTTCTGTCCATGACATAAAGTAATGATCTTATCTTTACCCAGATTAAAGATAGTACTATCTACGGAGTCTAGTGATAAGAAGACTATTCCGGTCGGCCTTCTCTGTTGAAATGTTGAATATTAACATGTTCTATGATACTTTTGAGCTGCTAATAGTTAAAAGTTGAGTGTTGATACTTTAACAAATAAATAGTTAATATAATAATAATGTCAATTTTCAACAACATTTATAATACTTTCCTAGTATTCATTAATTCGCATCAACGCAGTCTTTTGATGATAAATAACTTAAATGAAAAACCGGTTGACAATATTAATACACATCATTCTCAAGGAGATATACCGTGTCGCTCATGTACTGATTTTCGGACGTTTAGTCGTATGAGGCGTCAAGAATTTAGTCAAAGTCAGGTAATACATTTTGTTTGTATAAAATAATTGATTAGTAATCTTGAAAAAAATTTAGATTAGTATACCAAGTGTTCTATCGAAAGAACTGATCCCAAACTGATCAGGCATTTGAAAACAGAAAAATCATCCTCCATCACCTTAAAAGTTATAACATTTTTCAAATAAGAAAACTACTAATAGATTATTTACACTAAAACAAACAAACACCACCAGTCGTTAAATCAAATTATGTGTATACGACTCAGTTGAAAGAGATTTCAACTTTTAGCATTTGGCATTTAATTATATTATATGGTGTTTATTAAAAATGAGTAATTCAATAAATAACTGGCATGTTATTGAGAAAGTAACTGGTTACATGATTTATGTAACTCCATAACAGTTTACGTATATAGTTTTATAGAACACAAGTTATATTTTATGATTTTAAAAATAGGTTCAATCACTGAATACCCAATCTAAAGATAATAAGGATGAAACTAAAATACTAGAACACCAAAGAGATGACTGTCCCTTAGACAAAGATGAATTAGGTTTGTTATTCAATTAATCTTAAATTATTTTAACATAAAAATATTATTTTAAATTGCTTATTGTCTTAGGTCGTAGTACATGGAAGTTACTTCATACCATAGCTGCCACATATTCAGATGAACCGTCACAAGAAGATCAATCTAACATGGAACAATTCATTAGATTAATACCAAAAGTCTATCCTTGTGAAGTTTGTGCAAACGATTTTTCCGAAATGTTAGTATTACTTTGTTCATTTTGTTATGTTAATTGTTTTTGTTTCATTTAAATTGGTAGATATACTATAAAAAGTATTTTATTTGTAATACTTATTTGTAGTATTTTTTATTGCTTTATTTCGGTTTCATGAAGATTACTTGCTAAGCATAGAAAGGTTTATGATTTTTGTAGAATTGTTTAGTTTATACTTTATTATGAATAGATGATGTCATTATTTTTAAATAATAAATGTTTTTTTCAGATTAACTTATCATCCACCAAACATAAGCTCTCAAAAGTCATTTGCAAAATGGATGTGTGAAGCACACAATATGGTAAATCGGAAATTAGAAAAGCCCCTGTTTGACTGTTCTAATGTAAATGAACGATGGCGTGATGGTTGGGCCGATGGGCATTGTGATTTATGTTATAGTAAACCAAATTAGGTGAATAATACAGAATAACTTCATAAAAAATATTTTTAAATAAATATTCTGGATTATTCAAATTATTATTAATTGTGAATATAGTGTATTTTTATTTTATTTTTTTATTGAAATAAAGTGTGTTACATTCTATTTACTCAAAACAAATTATGCTTAGAAGTTAGAATTATTCTATTTTAATTAGAAAGGGTTTCCTCTGCGCATAACCTAACTTACATATTATAATTTGTAAACATGTAAAATATGTAATTAATTGTTAGCAATTGCTTATAATACATTTAAAAAGATACAATTTGTCATACATACTGTATATCTATAATATATTAATATATTATACTCCACTGCTACAAGAATATATTGTTGTATCTTAATTTCTTTCTTACTTTTATTTTGAATTCCATATCGTCCTGACCAATTGAGTATTAGAGGTCAAAAAGAATTACAAAGAAGAACTTGCATGGCTAGTTATTATTTTTTTTTTTTCATACTTGATTTTAAAAGTTGAATTTTCAATATTTCAATACTATGTATAAATAATAAATACATTCAAGAATGTATTAGTTTTCCCATGGAAAAATGGCAAAGTAATGAGAAGTTTGGAAACCAAAATGTGCAGTTAATATAATATCGGTATTATTATGAGTTAAAAATTATTCCTAATATCAATGTGAACGGTTCTTAAACTGTGGTCCGAGGCGCTATCAATATTAAAATATTGATTAAGATAACTTCAGATATAATGTAAAAAAAAAGTTAAATTGGTAAAGGGGTCCGCAATTCCTAAGTCTTTCATCAGGGATCAGTATCTTACAAAAGTTAAAGAACCACTGCTCTACATAATTTAATATATTTTCAAAAACCTGTTTAGATACTTAGTTCATCAATTAGTATTAATTACTAATTGTATTTCACCTCACAAGGCAACATTACATCTAGCTGTCTCTATAATTTTAATATTTTTCTGTATCTCAATATATTATGTGTAGGTTAGTCTATTTTATCTATTATATTATATTATTATTTTTTATCTATTTTTTGAAAAATAGTAAATACTTTTTATAATTTTTAATATTCTATTTTATTATATTATAATTATGTTGTCAGCTTGTTGCATTATAGTGCACAATACTTAATGCTGGCATTCAATTTTTACAACAAAAAACATCCTTAAAACAAACAAAATGTATGATATTTAAGGACCTTTAGGGATTTTTTTACATCTTATTATAGAAAATTAATTTTTAACAATAGATTTTACATAAGTTGTAAAAGAAATATTATTATTTGATAGTTTTGTAACAATTTATAAAAAATATAGTATAGGAGGCAGTGACCTGGTGGCAAGGGGATGCATTTTTAAATATTTTACAGGGTGGGATAAAAACAATCAAGTACCCTTGGATATTTATAGATTGCATGTCACCATTAAAATTAAATGTATAACAATTAATACATTTTAAGTGAATTTAATAAAAAATGACTACAAATTTACTATCAAAATTGTTTTTATTGCGAATAAGAGCTAATTGACAAAATATATACAATTGATACCCTATACCTAGTAATGTTATAAATATATAAAGCTTGATGTAGAATTAAACACCTATAAAAATGATTACTTTTATACAATTTATTTTACACTTAATAAATTGTACCTAGCAAGTATTTTTATAGGTACTTTTTCATTGTGAGTAATACTTCTCTAACATCAATTAAATTCAAATAAATATAACACATAATTATCAGCTTATTAGACTTAATTGTTTGATATTGAACCAAAACAATACACATAAACTATTTTAATTATTACTGTAAAATTTAAAAAATTTTTAATTAGTTGTTTGTTAAAATATGAGTCGTACAATAATCAAAGTAAATCATTCTAATAAAATAAACAATAAAATAGACAAAGGCATAAATCTTAACAAGACTTATAATTGTATGAAAAGCGTTAAAATGTTATGACTCCAAACGTGTTTATTAATTTTAAACTGATAAATAAATCAAAATTAAAATGTCTAATATCTAATTTACAGGTGTTAATTTAGAAAAATTATTAGTAATAAAATTCCACTTGAATTTTATCAAATTAAATTACAAGCGTACATTGTAATATATATATAATATAATAATTAGACAAGCCAGTAAGTTGTTTAAAATATATAATAACTAATTTACAAAAAATTTAACTGTGCCCAGTATATTGAATTGTACGTCTAAACATATAAATATATTTTTTCATGACATTCCTTTTTTTTGGAGGTCTTTTTTAAGAGCTGATTTTTTTTTTTTGTGAAGAGATAGTGCTGTTTTTGTGAGTTTTTCACATTTTTCATGAAAAATGCGTAATATCACACTTTTTTGAATTTCTAAGAAATCGTCTACTATAAAATCTGCCTCTTTCTTACCTATTTCTATAAATCTACATGGCGGGTTTAATGATAAGGCTCGTTTCCTGTGTTCTTCCCAAGGCTTGTCGGTCGGCTCCCAACCATCTAATTCGATGAAACACGAAAAACATCTTACTGTATCAGGTACATCAGGATTCGGGCAGTAGAAACCTGCTTCGGCCATTTCCTTGGCACTAGGTTTTCTCATAGTCCAATTTTGTAGCGATTTTAATCTTTTCATCTGCCAGATGTGATTATGTGGTTCTGCTTCAAGAGATGTAATTTGATTATCGATCTGTTCCGTTAGTATGTTGTCTATATTCTCCATGATGAGTTAAAATCTAGAAAAAAAATATAAATGATAAACACCAGAATACAACCATATTAGCTTATACAAATTAAAAAATTGAATAGTAATATTTATAGACCACTGTTCAAATACCTCAATGCAGCAGCCAGTAAAACGCAAAACAAAATTTAAAATGTCTAAAAATTAATAATTATTATTACCTATTCAAATTTTTCAAGTCTACTCTCAATATTGATAAAATTATAACCGACTTCCGAGTTTCCAACACCAAACATTCCATGTTGTAAACAGTGTAGCCGTTATTAAAACTAAAAAAGTGTTTTACTAAAGTTTGGTTACTCTCTGATATCTATACTATAATCGAGAATATAAATAATTATTTATTAGTTATTTACTTATTTAGTTTAATACCTATTTAGTATGTATTCTTTTTTAAATTTATATATTATAGTTAAGAATTAAAATATATTATCTATTGGCTTACTACGAAAACAAGTAGGGTAAAGTACTTATCGTTATGTACACTTAGTTGCCTATTTAAAACGCCTTATGATCATGATTAAGTAGGAAATCTAAATTTATAAAAAAATTTTACCTGTTTGAAAAAGTCTGGTTTATTTACATAATTGGAAATTAAATGTATACAAATCAATTTTAAAAGTAACTCATTACAAACCAATATTTTAAATGGACTATATACTCAACTACTATTCAGTAGTTATATTTGAATAATCGAGATTATTAATTTTATAACAATTAATGTCATGAACCATATTTTAAGAAATGATTATCCTAAATCGGGGGTCGGCACTCAGCAACCATTCATTTACGTGGGCCACATTTTTTATTAGCTTTCATTGAGGGCTGGAAACAAAATTAAAATATACATTATTAAAATTATAACTTTAACGTATAAATATCTAATTATGGATAGCAACAACCATATTATGAGTTTCATTGCTTGGTTATCCTTATTTACTAATTTTGAATGATTGGTTTATATTTGAAAAACCATGATATATATTTGGAGAGCCATAGAAAAGTTTTGTGGGCTGTGGATTGCCGTTGCCTGCCCTAAATAATATAAAGCATATACAAACATTAAGTTTTATATTTTTATGAATATATTAATAACATGTACAAATATAATATACATTTTATTTTTAATGTACCTATAATAAATATAATTCAATAATAATTTAACTTATTTTTACTTGTATTGAAAAATAATATTTCGATTGACAATAATTAAAAAAAATATATTTATTAACCATAACATTTAAAAAATGCATATAAAGGTAAACAAATAAATAAGCTATAATAATAGTACACATAAATTATATAATTCTATTCATTAAAATTAATTAGTTTGTAAAGGAACAATAAATGTACATAAATATAGTTAATATTTTAATATTTTATGCAGTACCTATACAGTACTAGTATAAACAAGTTATAATACAATCAAACTTTCATGCTTATGCCAAAGGATTTCCAGGATATTTATTCAAGAGCTGAAAAAAAAAACATTATAGGCTTTGTGTTAATATAATAATAAATACTAAACATTATACTTACAATTTCAATATGCTTTCTTAACTCTGTCGGAGTTACTTGGTGCAATAAACGTTCTTGTTCAACAAATGAAAAATCATCTTCTGATTTTGAAGATGAATTACTATTATTATTTGGTTTTTTTCTTTGATATTTAATATCAGTATTTGAATTCTGAAATTGTATTAGGTCAATTAATTTATTGATTATTAGTATTACAATAATATGAAATGCATTAAGAAGGAATACATCGAAACAAATAAAATCATGTGTGCTTACTGAATTTGATTGACTATCAATGTTCACATTTTTTACTACTCCCATAACACTTTTAACTAATTGTCGCTTTTCTTGAACTTCAGCTTCTAAACGTTTTTCTAATGCAGAAATACATTCTAATTTATCTTTTATAAGTACTTCAAAATGTTCTAACTCTTCTCTGTGTTTTGAATTGATTTGAGCCTTTTCTTTTTCATATCTAAGTACAAAATTATTTTATTTTAATTTTATTTAGAAACAATTTAAAGTTGTTCAACCTTTCTTTAAAATTAATTATTTGATTATTCATTTGAATTTTGATCAATTTATTTTCTTCTTTTGTAATTTGAACAATTCCATCTAATTTACGTTGATAATCTGATACTTTTTCAGCAAGCACACAATCCAGCTGTTTTTGATAAAAGCTTCTTAGATCATTTTTCAGAGTTTTGATTTCGTCTTTTGCTGCATTAAGTTCCTCTGCAGTTTGTGCCTAGATAACAATATTTACAATAGTTAATATGATAATAAAAACATTTTATTTTAAATTTTTTTATTATTGCATACTATAGATATAATTTAAGTACCTCAGTACTTTTCATTTGATCTACTATGCCTTCAATTTTACGCTTTTGATCTAAAAGTTGATCATATTTTAAAGTTTTTTCACATAGCACTTTTTTTTCTTGATTTAATACTAATACTTCTTTCTCTAACTCACAACACTTATTTATTGATCTATTGCACTTTTCAGCTATCTAAAAAATGAAACATATTGATTTTATACTTAAAATTATTACAGTAGAAATTGTTTAGTATGCCATCAGTTAACACTCCATATCGCTTAATACACACAATATTTTAAGTCATAGCTATATTTATTTGTTGCGTTTTGTAGTTTTGTACAATCTACCGGTATTAGCAAGTTATGTAGTCTCTTTGATATTGCATTAAGCAGTTTCTACTATCTTCAAACTCACATTTTTATTTTTTTCTTGTAATTTAACTAATTCATTTTGAAGTCTTTCATTTTCTTCATTTTTTTTGTGAATACTTAGTTGTAATTGTTTTGCATGTTCTTCTACTTTTTGAAATTTAATTAATAATTCATTCAACTTTTTTTCAGCATTTTTTGTTAGAGCCTTGTAAGAATTACTTCGAGAAATAGCTTTAGCTGTATCACTTTTATAATGTTCGATTTTTTCTTTCATTGCTTCCAAAATTTCTTTTTTATTCTTGCGCTCAGATTGTAAATCCCTGTTGATTTTTTCATTGATTGTACAATATGCTCTTACTTGACTTAAAACCATAGCAGACCGTGCAGCAAGATCATCAAGAAGATTATTTTTTTGGCAATCTACTTCTTTATATTCAACCATTTTCTTTTCATAATTTGTTAACTTTTTTTCTAAATCTATACATTTTTTTTCTATATTCTGTAACATCCAACAATTATTTAAAAAAATATTCGCCAAACTAATTATTACTATATTGTTACACAATTTTGATTTTTAAAATTTATAATTTTAGTATGGAAAAAATTGTTTACTTGACTATGGTAAATTTCTTTTCCGAGTTTCAACCACAAATTTTCTTTTGAAACTGAGTCCAATTTTTGGTAATCATTTAAAGCTGTGGTTACACGTGGGGTTACATTTTCCAAGTCGTCACATAAACTTAAATAAACATTGGATAAAAAATTTAAAAAAAAAAGAATTAAATAGGTATAGGTACCTCTGTAAATTGTTGTCATCTAATTCATCGCAAACAGTTTTTTTGGTTAGAACAGGAGATCTAATATCTTTTACTTGAAAATTGACACTACGCTGCGCATGGCCATAATCTACGTTTCTTAATAACTTGTCATTGTACTCGTAAGTATTCACCATTTCATGCAATAGAGAATCAATGGAACTATACTTAATTTTTCTTTCGGCATTTCGTTTTAGAGGCGAGGAAGCACTAAGAGGACTGGACACACCATTGCTGATGTAACTAGTTTCCATTATTCTGTTTAAGGCGCTGGCTATTAACAGCTTACACGTCCGACGGTTAAACTAATAACTATATCTAAAGCTTCAAGTCCAGCTATCGGTAAACTGCTGCCATTATCTTTTCTATGCATTCTGCCCCCTTATTGGTCATAATTATGACTAAATAAACAGAATTTAACAGGAATGACTGCTAGATCATTACACACATTATTTCCAGACCACGGACACTGATTAGAGACACGGTAACACAGATATTATCTGTGCACGGTAAAGATACCCAACACGTATATAAGTATATTATAAATAGGTACGAAGAATACTGGCATACAAATTACGTTGACCAACAGGTGGCAAGTATAAGACTAACCAAGGCGAGTTCAAAATTAAAATTATGTTGAAACTTTAAGTTAATAACTAAGTTAAGTAACTCGTTACCTTTTTATGAAACTTAACTTTCAACTTAAAAGGTTAAATTTTGAACATAGTATTTAACGTGTTAACTTCAAGTTAATTATAACAGATTTCTTAAAATTAAGTTACATTTCAAATTTAATATAACCCATTGATTTAAAACTTTGTAGGCTTGAGAAATATTAGATCAGAAATAAACGGAAAAATGTATAATTAATAAATAATTATTATTACCGGTTGAGTTTGATATAAAAAATACAATATACATAAAGGATAAAGCCATAAAGGTATTTTCAATTTCGTAGATAACCTATATACAATATACAGTGTAATACCCACCCGTATGTAATAATTAATAATTATAGATTTGTGGTTATTGTATAGTGTATACGGATTACGGACCCGCCCACTTTCGTATGTTACGAAAAACGGGCCGTCTCAATTGCGGCTGTCCCCACCACTGCATGGCAAGAAATTGAATTTCCATACAAATAACATTGGAAGATTACACATTTTAACTTGACATAACTTTGGGATAAATGGTCGCATTGAGCTAATTTTGGTAGGTACCAACATTTTTTTCCACGTGGACTACAAATTTAAATATTTAACAAAAATTAAAATTTTTTTTTTAAAACTTTGTAATTAGGTACAATTAGTTTCAACAATTATTTAAAATAATATAGTAGTTATATACAAGAAAAAAACAACAATATACAATTAAATTAAAAAGCCAGTATAGTTAAAGAAAGAAAATATATTTAATATATTTTTTTGTTTATTTGAGAAAATGTTTATAATATCGAAAGGGATATTTGAGGTGTTCAAAAGGGGCAGTAGGTGGTCACGATTTGTTGATAGGTTGGGACAGATGAATAGTAAGTTGCTGATATCACAGGCTATTGGATAATTGTGCAGTGTGCAGAGAGGGAATCGTTCAGTGACAGTTTAGAAGAATGAGAAGAAAGTCTTGTGTGGCCAAACCGGAGACGGGAGAACGATATAATATACATTTCCTAGAAAGATTGAGATTGTGGAACCAGGGTAGTGTTGGGATGGTTGGGGAAATATTTCTATACCAGGTGGCAAAGTGAGGAGGGAGTGAGCCCCAGTGTTTGAGCCTAAGATCGGATGTGCAAGTTAAAGGATGGGGTCATGGGGATAAAGTCGGACCATGGAATTTTTGTACTTGACGGGCAACTGAGGGAGGCAGAGGAATTGGCAAGCTTGTCAGCGAATTCATTTCCCGCAAAAAAAAAATTAAAATTAAAATTCTCTGAACATTTTTTTAAAATAAAAATTACGTAAAAATATTTACAAGTGTTTAAATAAAACTAATTTAGATAGCTTAAACCTTAACAAAGATTTATTTTTCTATACTTCACGAATATAATATTCTTTTTTGAAGTGAGTAGTGACGCATTCTTATATTTATAAACTTCTTAGTTCTTACTAATTTCTTTAAATAAGGTATACTCATGGCTAGGAGCACCAAAATCATTTATAATAGGATGGAATCCAGTAAAAAAAAATTATTACTTTTGGCTAATATACTTTTTTTGGCGCATTCAAATATATTAAATGATACATTTTTATGTAATACTTTTTCCTTCACAACAATAATTTGAAATGCTTTTTCTAAATGTTGAACAATTAAAGAAATGGCTTTTGAAAAAATAAACAGTTCAGGCACGGATCCAAGGGGGGGGGGCAAGGGGCCATGCCCCCCCGTAGACTCACGCTTAAATGGACTTGCATTACTTGCATTTTTATTAGACTTATAGGCTGAAATTTTATTTAAGATGCCCCCCCCCCCGTAAATACGTTCTAGATCCGCGCCTGAAACAGTTTGCCTCTGTTAACAGAAGAAGTAAATGTTAAACTGATGGCATAAATATGATCAGGTTGATGTTCTCGTTCTGTTAATTCTTCAATACAAAAAGTACAGGACATTTTCTTTACCATGCTTTGAATAATATATCCTGAAATATAGTCTAAAATATCATTAATATATTCTCCTAGCTGTAAATTGTTAAGTTGATCTAAAAATGTTTGAATTTCACTATTATCATCATCAAATGTTGTTTCTTCCTCTACATTCCTTACACTTCTTTTATCAGAGCGAAATTCTAAAATGTCATCTTCAACTTTCAAGTGCATCAAAATCACAACAGTTACCACTGTTAACAGTTATATTCCTTGTAAATAGTAGCTGCCTCAAGGTATGTTTAAACTGAACACAATTAGGATTATTGTTACAACCCCCTCTAGAATGTACACAAGCAAAAAAAAGCTCTATATGATCTTGAGAGACTTTAAGCGTGAGAACAAATTTTAATGGGTTCTGATTTTTATACAATAGTTTGTAAGACATTTCCAATGTACTTTTCATGTTAACAACAAATCCAATAACAAACATTTTCCTACCACTTAAATATGCAAGGAATTCTTCAATGATTAATGTTTTTAAATAACCAATAGTATTATTAAATACTGACTCAATAGACTTTATATTACCAGCATTAATTGAACTTTTGTACCCTTTTGAAAATGGAATTCTAGAATTTAATATATCAAAAAATCTGTCAATCTGTCTTGTAAAGTAAATAGTTGATTCATTGTTTTGAAATGATTTTTCTCCTTTTTTTTGTAGATATTCAATCGCATCTGCCACACCACTGCTTAAGGACTGAGCTGCTAATTTGACCTTCATAATGCTGTTTCTGTAATGTATATGCTATGAATTATGATGTTAATTTGTTAGCAAATTTTAATCCAATATAATTTTGCAAATTATTTAAAGCAATTATAAATTTCCATTGTACAATGTACAAGGCCATCATGATCAATAATATGTTTAAAGAACTTTTTATCAGCATTACTATTTACTAAGGTAATGTAATAGCATAGAATAATTAGGTAAATAAATAAATAGGTATAATTCTTATGGGGCCGGGACAGATTTCCCGATTTTGATAGCGGTAGTGATAAGCTTTTGGCCTAATTCTTATCACGGGATCGAACTGTCCCCATCACCATCCGTGGATTATTGCTATTGATAGTATTATCTTAGTTCGTGATTATTCCTTATAAAGTTATAAACAATATAAACATAATAATAGAATAGAATCTATTCATATTTAATTTATCTATATTATCTATATTGTCTGTACTCTGTTATTGCTAAAGACCTATCTTCTAAGGCTGTGCTAAAGACTAATGTAAATAATAATTAATTTGTAATACTTTTCATTAATCATTATTGTTATTCAAGTCCTAAGACTTCATGTTGCCTGAATGTCTTAATCTTAAATTGTAAAATGATCATTTATATTTATTACTGTTTTAGTTAATTTTTTAATTCATTGGTTTTTATAAACATTTTTAAAACAAACAGATATAATGAGCAAATCTTTAGATATTTGTAAAGCATCCGTAAGTAAAGAATATCACTATATTTTTGAAAGATTATATTGTTTATTAATTTTGGGTTGATTTTATAATTATTGGTAATTGCAAGAACATCTTAACCGGAACAATTATTATAATATTTGTGTAGAAAAATATTATATGATTGTAAGAAAAACCAAAGTAAATAAAAACACCTATAAGTAGACAACTTAAATTAATAAATCATAAATGTACCATTGGAATAATTTGACTAGCTAAACTGAAAATATTTTAAGGAGCAAAACTTAGTAACTTACTTAGTATAGCAAAACAAGTTATTATTTTTAAATATATCTATTCAAAATAAATATAATATTATATTGTAAGACAGGCTATTTACTAGTATTAAAAAACCTACAATCTACATAAAATAATTGATTACCTTTTATTTTTTTGTGGCATTGTCAACACTTCCAGAACTGCTTCAGTGTTTCTTCAACAGTTATAATTGATTATCTATGCAGCACCATCTTAGGTACTGTATAAATTAATGAAATCACCATAACAATTTGTTGTCATAAAAGTATCAAGTTCAATACAATTTATGTATGTTTTTCATTATCAACCAATTTTGATATGAATGTTTACGAATTTAAAAATCTTTCAAAAAGTATAAACAATAGTTAATACACTGAGTTCCTCGTGATTTTTTGAATGCGAAGATGCTATTATTGCTATTAATGTATCAAATAACTATTAAGCAATGATATAGTTTATACTCGAGTTTATATGAACATTTATTATTATCTACATAGACATATAGTGTATAGTATACACAAAGCATTAAAATAATTCTGTTTAAATTCCACTATATTTAGCACAAAACATTTACTAACCAAATAAATGTATGTTGTATATTCTAGCTAGTAAGTTTAAAAGCAGAACTTTTACGCAAACAAGATGAAGCAAACAAAGCAAAAAGTTTTTCTGGTGACACATTTATTCGACCATTGCCTGGTGCTAAGACGCCATCATGTCTTCTTCAATCTAATGAGGGTGTTGAAAAAAGAAACGCTAAAGATTTAGAAGAAGAATATACTCCAGATATTGAAAATAGTTTGAAAAAATCAAGGTAATTTATGAGTATAGTTTAATGTATCTGGAATCTACTGTATGTACCATTACATAATATAACAGTTTAGAATGTTCTATAATATTTTGTGTTGTTTTATTAGAGATGTTTTAACTATGAAGGCAAAGCTGTATGAGAAACTGGTTAATGGTGAAATGGTAAGTGAACAAGACAAAACATTTTTAGTTGATTTTAAACAAAAAGTTACTGAAAATAAAACTGCTTATCCTATATCTTCCACAAAAGATAATGTTAAGGAGCAGGAAAAATCTGATTCCGATGCAGATTTAGATAAATATGATTCAGGAGCGGATGATGATTGGTAAATTGAATTAATGCATTTTAAATAGGGTGGTTATTCATAAATTAAGTTGTAATGTTGTTTTAAAATATTGGATAATTATATAATTATATCATGTCAAATAATCACCCTACCTATACCTATGTATATTATGGTTTTAAACTATCTATTTTACAATTAGATGTACAATTTTATTTTATCAGGGTAGATTATACGGACTTTTTTGGGCGTACTAGGCGATGTTTGAAAACAGATTTAGAATTTTTCAAAAAAAGAGATCAAAGGATTGAAAAAGAATTGGAACCACCACCACCATCACCTAATGAAATAAAACAACAGACACCTATAGCTACACAACAATTTGTAAAAGAAAGTAGGAACCCAGAAGAAATATCTGAACTTTTTTCATCAGATATGCGTAGAGAACAATTGCGTCTCAAATGGGAAGAAGAAGAACGAAAATTAGCCGAACGAACTGACATTCATTACGAAGATATACGATTTGACGGTGAGTATAAAAAACAATATTTTCTAAATTTAGAATGGGGCTTCCTAGTTTTGAGTTAAGTAATGAAAACTTTTGACTTGACCTACATAAGGTGACATGCAACAAATTGCAAACACTAATAACCCTTCACCTCTCTTTCTAGAATTAAGATAAGCTATCAATCCAAGTATTTAAATTGTACTGAATTGATATGTTTGGTTAAAATAATCTATCTTGCAAAAAGTAGTTCCAATTCTCAGTAAGTAAGTAAATAATTAATGAAAACAATTTTTTTAAAGTAATAATTAAAAATAGTTTGAATACATTTTAAATACACAGTAGAAACTAGAAAATTGCTTAATGCAACGTCTAACTAACAGGTTGCACAAAACATATCACATTATAATTAGTGATATGGCAAATATATGAATAACAATAGTTTGTTTACATGATACTTCTATACATTTTATAATTTTGTGTCTGCCTTATTTTACTGTCAACTTCAATGATGTCAAATGATAATAGTGAAAGTCGCGACAACACACAAATACCATTCAAATCATTAAATTAATTTAGTATACGCTGTAAATTGATAAACACTGATAAACTTATTTAGAAAAACATTGTTACTGAGCTACCATAGTGCCATTTATATAAAATCTAAAACTAACTTCCTATTTAAGATGTAGGCGACAATTTTTAATTTTATGGAAACTAAGTTAAATCAATCATAATAATTCATATTTTATAATATTAAATATATATAATATTTTATATTTTAACATGTTTATGACAAAAATTGACATAAAAAACCTAAAATCCACCCACATTATATTATGTACTTTAACATAAAGGGTTTTTTTATTACTAAGAAAGACATGGTACGATATAATTGTGTATTTTTTACTTTTGTTAAATTAAACATAAAGTAAAAATTAAAAAGCTACAAATTAAATAATTATTATGTAAAATTTAAGATCACATGCTTATATAAATATTATATGTAGGAACAATTTTATTACCTATATTATATCATCTATATTTATAAACATGTACTATTTACAGATTAATACATTCATACAAAACTGGACTAAATACTTAGACCAGTTGTTTGGTACTATCCTTACTTTTAAAAGTATAGATCAAAGGTATATAACAATACAAGTATAGATTATATTGATTGTAAAATTTAAATTTGTTCATAACAATAATGAAAGAGTAAACATATTCAAAATGTATCTGTTGAATATAAGTTAAGTGTAGTTCATTATTTTTATTGTTTCATTCAGAATTTAAAAATTACAAGGAACGTTAACCATTTTCGTTTAAAGTATAAAAAATATACATTCATATTGCATGGTTTTATGAAAAAATATCACTATTCTCTGCAATGTTGTATGTGACTATTTTAAAAAGACTATAAATACTATATAGCTTTATGGATTATGAATAATAAACTTAAAATATAAGTACGCCTAGGCAGTACCAATTTATCAGCTGATGCCTTTGCAAATGAATTATTTTTTGTAGATGTATCTAATATTACAGTAGTGTTAATAATTTTGTTGGTATATTTATGTTTATCTAATTGTGTCAAATCATCAAATAACCCGCTTCCATTTTCTGCTGATTGGTCTAAATCTTCATCATCTGAGGAAATTGGAACTGGAGTTAAAATTGTTGCATTATTGCATAAAGTTTTAGCACAAAAACAATACTTCACATTATTTGCTATTTTACAATCAGTAATGGGATACTCATTGCAAGATTTCAGTATACTTTTACCTTTAAAATAACAAAAAATAATTAATAATAATTAATAACTATAAATTAATTGTATTACCATAAGTTTTAGTTAGACATCCTCTGTATCCTTCTGGACATTTTAATGTAAAATTGAGTGCAGCATTTGAACCACAAGTTGGTATTGTTTCAATGTCATAATTTGAAAAAGTAATAGAGATTTCCGAAGCTTCTGTGTTATCAGAAATTGAATTTGGTGAACACACATAACATGTTATATCTTTTTTGACAGACGATGAATAAGTTAAACCTACAAATAAATTGTAACACATTTTTAACACATAAATAATTACATATGAACTTGGACAAAGTAATGCAATAATTGGTACTCATTGCAGTAAAAACAATTTTTTTGCTGAATCAGGAATCTGAACAAACTACGAATATCTACTTTTTTATTTAAGATATCTATTTTCAGCAACTTTATGATAGGTTAAATTATGAAATATTAGATAAACAAAACTTAAAATTAAATGATTTTCAGAAGTATAACTGGAATTTTAAAAAGACATATTTTAATTTATTTATGAAAATCAAAAAAATATACATTAAAGATTAGAAGCTTCTACCGATTTTTGAATTTAATAATTCATGGCAGAAATATAATGTTGAATAATAAACGTTTACTATTTTTATTCTATCTTTGGTAAAATTGAAATGTATAAAAAAATTCAATTTCACTGTGAAGATTTTACTTCGCTGTCATATATAATATATTTGGACGCGCATGGACGCATGGTGGCAGGGTGCACGGATCGTTAGAGTACATGATTTACTTGCATAGAATTCGTATAAATTGTTTTTTTATTTCAAAAGATATTGTTGACAACAGGCAACTGAATGAAAAACACATTTATTATTTTTTGCTAGATTTTAGAACACGATAATATGTAGTCACGAAAAGGCTGACTCATTGAACTCTTATTTTAACGGACCGAGGGAGTCGTGTTATGGCCAATTGGTTTAATGACTTAGCATTTAGGTAGCCAACTACAATTATAAAAATTAGGACTGTATACTCGTAACACTATAGTCTGTAATATTCGTTTAAAAGTTTAAACAAAGTGTAAGGGGATATCACGAAAATATTTATCTTTTTTTTAATAAGTTATATTTTTTATACTGAATTGAAAAATAAATTATTGTATGTACTTATGTAGTTATGTACATATAAGCTGTAAGTTTGGTAATTCAAATGTTCTTAAATTTTTATTGGTATCATCGTTCTTTAAAGAAGCTCGAAATTCTAAAACAACAATACGCTATAGTTTATTTCATATTATCAACATAGTATTAGCTATTAAAAATATCCCTTTATTTATTTTCATTAATATATTATTTTAATTTGGATTTTATTTAATTCGTCAACATTGTAATTATTCTAGTATAACAAGTTAAAATAAATTGGAATAACTAGATTTACGATGTTCCTATATCCCACGCAAATTAATTCGCTTTTATAAATACCGGACAAGACAGTCAATAAATAAAATTCCGTAAACATGAATGATGAAGTTAAATAAATACATATACCTACTATCGTCTATCGAAAACTGAGTTCCACGGGTGATTCGTAAGCGTTAAAAAAACATTTTATAGTTAAAAATGTTTATTTGGAATTCAATGTGTTGCTCATTCACACGTTATAATAACATTAATAATAACCCCTTATTATTTTTCTCCCACGAGAATTTTAAATAATCATTGTTATACTTACTCATGTATGAAATACCAATCTCTCAAAAATTAAACTTGTCATTTATATTGCATTCAAATATGCAATTATTAGGTATATGAAAACTTTCTAATTCGTAAAGTTAAATTCATTTTTTAAACAATCTAATAATTCTATAAATATATTATTTTTTTTTATGGAGTATAAATAGTAAATACTAATCTCATAATTAATTAATAATTAGTGTTTAATATGAAACCTTTTTTTTAAGATCGGGCAATATCTAGATCAATTTTGTGTGTACGATTTACTGGCACAAACGTTTTAAATTATCTTCATTACCTATAGTTGTTATTTAGTAACATTTGAAACAATGAAACATTTAAAAATAATATTTGCATAATGTGAATAACTTTGCTTATTCTCTGAATGTTGTATTTTATGTTAGCTCATAAATCATAATGTATAAGATATAATATTATTTTCTGAAAATTGTATTGTTATGTAAGGAATAAAACCAAAAACTTAGGATTTAACTTTTAAACTTTTCTTAAACAATTGTTTCTTTCAAACGAAACTTTTGACATTTTATTTTTGTGACGTAATATTATACCAGATGATAATCTTCCAGGCGTCGGTCTCCAGCTATATGTTTAATAAGTGTATGACCAATGTCTATATGACTTCTATATATATATATTCGTATCTGCAGTAAAATAAAAACTACATAGCTTTCGATAATTTCGCGATAATATAAAAATGGCAGTACAAACACTGTCCATTAAATTGTTTATCAAAAACGTTCCTGTCACGATTTAGTGTGATTTTTTGTATCATTTTATGACATGTCGCGTACATTATAGTATTGTGCTACCTTCAAACATTTTGAATAATATATCGTTTTTTTCACACATTTGTCAAACTGAGTGGAACGAAATTAAATTCAAAACGTACTGTTTATTTTTTATTTACTTTAAATGAATTATCTATTTTGTTAGACAGCCGTATGGATAAAAAAATTATTTTCGTTCAAACTTTTTGTTAACTATTGATTAATTTAAAATCTGAAAAACGTTCTGTTATATGACAAATATCGCTATTATAATCTTAAAGTATTGTTATGTGTCTTATATCATAACATTTTCTAATAAAGAATGTTATTATGTAGAGCTCGTAGGTAAATAATATTGATAATATTATGTCTATAATATTTTAGAGAAAAGGTAATTTTTAATAATAATTAGGTATTTCCTCCATTTGTAATACCTAAGCTCTACTCGCCACTATTTTACTATATCTGCTTTTACTGACACTATTAATACAATGTGATTTGTACTTTATTATATTATAGTTATGTAATGAAAATATGAAATTAGTGTGACCTTTAACATATTCATAAATTAATAAGTCTTTTTGTATTTAGAGTTTAAACGTGCGTAAAACTGAATTCATGTTTTACTTTATTGATTATTTCCTATCTTATCTAACAAGCAAAATTAAAACAACTTAACAGTTGTAGTCTTAGTGGTTAGTATTTATAATTTCAATAAATAATTTCGTTTATTTTGATTTTTTACAGCAGTGATTACTCAATTGTTATATAGATCATTGTAGTTTATACTATAAGTCTATATTTTATGATCCATATTTATTGTAAACGAATATGTTAGATTAAAAATGCTAAAAATTGGATACACATAATTTCATGGTTGTTCATCAGAGATTTTTATCGACCAAGATTTATTTTGTGTACAAATAATTGAAAACGACTGCATTATTTACATATTAAGACGAGTCGCGTCATTCACCCCGATAATTAACTTATTATGTACATCCTTAATTACATAATAATATTCTAAATACGCTTAATATATTCTAGTTGGTTCAGTAATCTTAAAGCCTATGAATATTTTTTGATTATAATTTTTACTTCAATGAAAATATAATAAGCAATATTTTTTTTCGGTTCTTATTTTTGATGATTTATTCATTGGATCTGGGGCTATGGCTATTAGTCTATCTCGTCTCATTGCATTATTTATAACAGAAGTATGAACGACAGTGATAAATAGGTAAATACATTCGCAGAATTTTTAAATCTAAAAAATGTACATATAATAAACTTTTGTTTCCATTTATTAATATATGATTTTTATAGACCTTAGGTATTGAGTTTTTTAAAACGCTTGCAATGTCCAAAATACAGAGCCAATAATAAATGTATAAGTACTTTTTATGTATAATGTTAATTTATTATTATTATAATACATATTACTAATTAGTAATGAAATATAATATATTTTAGTGTAACTTACTGATCATGAAAAACCAAACCGTCGTGGTTTTTGTCCATCGCAGAAAACCGACAGACATTTTGTTTTCAAATATAATTGAAACAGCGAAAACTTTATCACATATTCAGTGGGTATAGAGGAACAAATGTTTAAAAATTATTGGAGTAAAGTCGATTTTGACCTCAAAACAAAAATTTAATTTAAAAAAACTGCTTGTGTGGTATGGTCCTAATTATAATTGATTTCCATCTCGTGTAAACTTGATCTACGAACGATATGTCTGCATAATAAACTATTTATTATTATATTACCTTATACATTATCGTTACCGAAAACAACATGCAACGATACCGAACGTAGTCTCGCGGTTCGCACTGTTTTGGACACAATGCTAGAGAACGTCTCCGGCCGGCCCGCGCTCCCTCTCGTCGTTTCCTATATAATAATATTATTATTATACGTCTACAACTGACCGTGGAGGCACACCATCTCGCGGGGTCGGCGCATATTATAACGTTACGCAAACGATCAATTAAAAAAAAAAAGAACCGGAAAAATGTAAACTCTACCGGGGCCTATATAGTACCGCATTTATCCCTCGTATCTGTTGTGTGCATATAATATATGTATATATGTGTGCAAATTGCTAAATGCCAAATGGTTCGCCATAAATTATTTTGTTCTTCCTATACAAGGGGAAAGAAGTAAGTAATGAGATAATTTTTAAAAGCTCTGAAGACATGCGTGAAATACTGCACTATGCGACTATAATAATATATTATTGTTTGTTTTATAGTCCATTTACTGCTCATGATTAATTATATACAGCCATATAGCCATATATATAATTATATATATTTAGGTGCCGTAGTTAAATTTATTGATCGAGTAATATTGTGTTATATTCATAATGTATTATAATATTATTACCTATATTAATTACCCGGCAATAATTATTAATACTAAACGTCTACAATGGTAACCGTCTTTAGTCATTGATGGTTCGATGCAAGTTCTAAGTAAAATTAAAAATACTATATAGATTTGCCTATAAATTATAATGGGTATATAACTAATAAAATAATATGGGGACAAGTCATATATACATGGCCACCTGGACCTGGGTCCGTAATAACTTAGTAGCCGACCCTAAAATAGTCTTACAGTAGTAAAGTTTTTATAAAAATATTTATATTTTTATTACTTTTTAGGTATTGTTTGTTTATTATTGTAGAGTTGGTTAGTCTATTTTAGATTTTAAGCAACAATGATGTGGGATCGGTATTTGGTCATTCGATTCATTTAAAATACTTATAGTAAGTAAATTGTTAGAAAACGGAAAAATGTTTAACTTTCGGTTAATTACTTACTCGTAGAAAGTATTGGATCGTTGGGTGGTATAAAATAATAATTTTAAATTTCTTCTATTATTCCGATTTATTTATTATCGTAACATATAGCCTTAACTCGTATGTAAATATAAAACCTAATACAGTTAGTTAAAATCAATTTTATTTCTTTAACCAATAATTGTGGTAGTGCGTAAAATGGACGAAATAATTTCGGCCGATCTGCATTTTAGCTGAGAAATAATTAAGCAGATATTGAGTGTAGGACAGGTAGCTGCAGTCTTTACAAGTCACAGTGTCTACATTTTTAAAATATTTTTCTTGGGCATGTATTTATTTATTTATTTATGAAACAGGACAAGCATGTATTATATTGTTGTTATAGATTTTAGGTAAAATACTAAAACCTATACCTATTAAAAGAAATTATATGCTGACAAAATCTTAAATTACATAATGTACCTAGACTGCATATCCAATTGAAAAAAAAAACTTTTAATATGAATTCGCTTAATTATATGTTTAATAGTTCTATAAATCTTGTTTCAACGTCCTGAGATATAGTAAAAAAACGTATTCTTTACGGTCGTAGGCATTACAATATATTAAGTCCATTATAATAATAATAGTTAATATTACTATCGTTAAGTATTGTATTGTATGTTAATAAAACATAATTTAGTTAAACTTGTATAATTTGAAATTGTAATAAATACCATACTTTTAGTTACCTATTGTAGATAAATAAATTGGGGTACATGAACGTTTTTTTTATAAAATAACATAATTTTTAAATCCAAATAACATACATAATGTTCGTGTTTCACTCAGAATAACGTATACAACAATCACGAGGTAGTAAAAGTGTACAGCACGTTAGAATATAATAATACCTATTTATTGTTTGTGCATTAGTGGTCGTAAAGGTATATAACAGTGTGCCAGTGAGGGGGAAAGGTTATCAATGTTCTGTTTTGCCTTAAACAGAGCGTCTCACGAAGGCAACATACCTACCTATATATATTTAAATGAAGTGTCAGTGAAAAATTCTCAAAACTTCATAATACACCCTAATTTTTATTTATATATTTATCCGTTAACGATGTTTTATGTTATGTATTATGTTAACGATGCGCTTGGGGTACCTGTTCAGGGTATGCTTAGCTATAAAGTCCTACATAAGTTAGTGCTGAAACCGTCGGTATAATTAGTACGTAACATTTAGGACTTCTGCATCAACCTTTATACAAATTAAAATTTTAGTCTAACGTTACGTAAACGTTTTTAAACATTAAAAGCATTTTATAATTTTTCTGAAATTTCGGGGAGGGTTGCATTCTCCTCAGCCTCCGCCATATGGTTACACCACTGATGTGTAGGGTACATAAATTATTACGTAAGTTAATTACAATGTTTTCACATACTCGTATTATGTAATAATAATTACTTATTAATTATTCATTTTTGTTAGTCATAGAAAATTGTTGTAATATACCCTTTTCCATTGCATATTTACGTCTATCACATATCATTTTTAAAGGTTGGGATTTCTGATTCATTCTTTGAATGAAATGTGTGTATTGTGTATGTCATAATCTAGTTTATTATAACTTATAAGTATTGATTATATTAAAAATTATATTGTGCATTTTATATTGAACTTGTCGCCTTGACACGTCATAACCGCAAAACGACAACGCATATTTATTCATAATAATATTACTCTTATTTTTAATTAAGATTAAGTTATTGTATGGCCTTTACTTTTACATATAAATATAAAATATATCTACCAAGAATATTTACCTTCAAGTGTTTCTTTAGTTATTAATTAATTTAAATCCTGATTTTGGGAATTTTTAAGTATATACTTATAAAGACCATATTTTCAAATACTTACTCTTACGTTAACTGTGGTGATATAAATTCTAAATGATAATTTTTATGGAAATATTGAATGCTTATAAATCAAAATTCGAACTAAAAATTCCGGGTTATTAAACCTAAGGCATTAAAGATCATAGTCTATGATACTAAATTGATGTAAAAGATATAGGGCCAATGATTATTTAAAATTATAAAGCCTAATATTATTATTTTGACATTTTATAATTTGTAAAAGTTGTATGAGCAAATATAAGTACTAGATTAAAGTAAACTACTTTACTTCTATAATAGATGTTGTATATTTTATGTGAGCCATTATAAGGACAATATTATACATATATGTATTATATTACCATATTTTCCATATTTTCCATATATTATAATATAGTTCAATAACTCAGAAACTACTTGGTAGTTTAAATATTGATTCAAATAATGCATCAACATTTTCTGAAAATCGTGATGTGGTGAACTATTTTATTGTAAAGCAAAAAGTGCGGTTCTCATTAAAAAAAAAATATGTTGATATCGCAATAGGACAGTCCTTCTTGAACCTTAAATGGCGTATAGCAAAACAGAAAAACAAAAAAAAAATGTAATTGAAAATGTTGTTTGCAAGTATATACTTAAAAATCTCTGAAATCAGAATTTGAATAAATACATTATTAAAGGATAAAAGAGGGTTGAATATTCTTGTTGAATCATCCTGTATTATATTATATATTATACGCACGCGTCCTGTCCAGTGCATTTGCTATCTGCAGTCGTCGGACCACTCGTAGTATACCATTTTCGTTTTTACACTGACGTAGATAATATACGTATATACAGTATTCGGCCAAGATTTTAATCTATTTGGATGCATTAACCGAGAATGACGATATTCGGGGTGCCGTGTTAAACGATTTCCACTGTAACTTAAACACATAAATTCTGATAAAAAAAAAGAAAAAAACCTAGCGATCGGCCGTTTATAGCCGGACCCGAAGCAGTGGATGCTAATGTAGATAGATAAATTATATCATGGGCGCCGGGCGTACGTAATTATTTTAATAATTTTTATCTGCTTATATATTTTATATTTTTATTATTATGGAGCTGAAAAGTAGACACCACCCTTAAACACGTCTTTGCGCATGCGTCGTATGAACACAATGAGCAGTGGTGTGTTTACGACGCATATTCACATAATTCATTTCTCTATTATATTTATTTTAGAGTATGCTCATAACTCACTTCCCTATTTTTATTTTTTAGCGTATACTCACTAAATTTACGATTATACGACGTAGATTTACAGCCTATTAAAAATTTCAGCAACGAAAACAAAATATTATAATAGTTTAGAATTTTTAACTGTCAAATGGTACTTATACTTTTATAATTTTACCTCTACTTAGATAGTAGGTATCAAATGATTATAAAAATTACATTTCAGAGAATCAAATACCAAAACAATAATAGGTACCTGCTATTTTGTGTGTATGTAGATCATATTATGCTTAGTATGCTCTTACTATAATATGTAATGTATGAACATTTCAAAGTAATTTGTTTAACGTCAGATAATTTGAATTAGTTTACTGTAAAAGCGATGTGTAACGTGAAATTTTACTGCGTTTTTAGAAAATTATTACTAGAATTATTCTAAAACAACCTTCTTGAAGTACTAACTTCTCGTTTACTTGTATCTAGTTATCATAAAATAACTAATAAGTAGGGCCCGGATCTATATACCTTAAAAACCTTAGAAATATGCTTTTATTCTATTATTTTGTATAGTTAAAATCCTTTTAGAATAAAAAACACATACAATTTGGAAATTTGATAGTTAAAAAAATTATTATTATTATTACGAAAATCTACTAATAAATATACAGATTACAACAACTAGTCCCTTATACTCTTAGTTTAAGGTCTATGGTCTCGACATAATTATCTTCATCTAGAAGTGTTTAGATATCATATAGGTATATGTGTTTAAGACTTAAAACCAACGAACAATAATGAAACAAGTGGGTATGAACCACTTAGGTATTCTTAAAATACAGAAGGATGCAGTACACATCAAAAAATGATAAGATATGCAAAATACAACTTTGTATTTTGGAACTATTGACTATTATTCAAACTTGTAGCTTATCCATCTACTTATTGGACTTTTAAAAAAACCTGCGAATACATATAAATCCGAGAATTGAGTAATGAGGATTAGAATATATATTTTTTTTCTTAATTATATGGTTTTTACCATTGTCATTTACACACGTGAACAATTTGTAATTTTTTCACCCACCCATTATTGAGCAATCCATCACTGATTATACTTCTTAATAATATAATAATACTTATGTGAGTTGTGCGCGTGTAGTGCATTTACTATTTAGTGAAATAAATTGTAAACAATTTATAAATGCCATATCTTAGTTATGTAATATTGATAAGGTAATAAATTCATTTAAACTGGTCAAATACCATTTAACAGTACCTATAAATTCGTATTAAATAAGGCTAAACATTTTTTCGAGCATTCGCTG